ATATTTTGGGGTAATGGTTAAAAAAGTTCCCCGACCGCTGGTTTATATACTTTAGGTATTTGAATTTCTTTTATAATATTAACTTCAATTTTTATATGGGTGTAAATACTGAAGTCAATATACCTTTGTTAGTATGTAGGGGCATGTGTATAATAAATTATGTTTTATGCATTGTAAAAACCATTATTTAACGTCAAGGATCAAAGGTACAAATTACAAATCTGAAAACAAACAGTTTCTAATAATATCTTATACTAATCGCTTTTGTTCATAGCTTGAATTTGAAATGCAAATTAAATCGCGCGTTAATTCTGCTATTATGCTATTATTGTTGTTGTTCAAAGGGAGCACTTTTACAATTTTAATTGTGGATTTATGAAGCCCTCACGAGAAAGTCATTTCGCAGAGCTGTCAGCGTTCTCGAAGGAGTTCCAGTTTGCATAATACAAAATAGAATCTATCCAAGATTCAGTAAACGCGAAGCGGAAAATAACGTGAGTGCTCTACAATTGATGCGGCTCCGACACTCGCTAATTTAATCAGAAGCATCCTTCTCCAAGCATATAAAATGTGCCCAGACTTAATTGAAAATGTGTCTAGATGTACACCATCCAATATAATACTGTCTGGATTCTTTCTTTTCTTTGTTCAAATGGAAATTAACAATGATTCGAAATAGATTTGAGATGCATTCATTTAGTATTAATTATAGTCAATATACATATCAGAAATTACAGTGTAATCATAAATTGATGAGACATACTATTCATTTGGTTAATCATAACATTTAAAAGGTAAGTTCTTTGGTTTGACTCTTTGATGGGCGGTGGTTCGCGCATTGTATCTTTTTTAATTATATCTTAATTTTCTAGAAAATTTCCAAGAAAAATAAATTACAGCAAATTCTTTAAAACTACGCATTTTTTATTGTTATAATTAAACTTTTTTTTGTGAAATTTAGGAATTTCAAAGAGTTCTTTTTTATTAATTAATTTGATTTATGGAGTACAGATTTGGTAAGTTAATTCAAAACAGTGACTGAAACACTATTAAAATCCAGAATTAAAGTATTTCTGTTCATTTACTTGCGTGTAAACATGTTTGAAGTAAAGGAAAATCATTAATTTAAAATTAGTCTAATTATGTCCTAATGGATTGTAATTTGAATGACAAAGAATAAACTTTGCGGATGTAACCGAAGCGCGATTCGAATCCAGATTCGTTGCTTCGTAATTAGGATAAACTTGGTATTTAGTTGAAAAAAAAATCAGTTTCCACAGCATAAATAAATCCGAAGCGCGAATGAAACACAGCAGATCTTCATTTGAAGAGATTTATTGTATATCAAGATTGTCTTGCAAGCGAGTCCGAGTATTTCCACTTGCATCCTAATAAGTTTGTCAGAGGATTTGCAACATCTCCAGGTTTCAGTATGTATGATCTGTCGCGTAAGATGGAAAGAAAACTAGGAAGATTTCCCACAGGAATAAAACCATATAACATCACGACAACCCAAATCAACTATAATTAAATTCCCTTGATCCGTTCGGCGTGAGCCAAATGTAATGAATCCACATCAATTCAATGTTTTTTTTTTAAATGGGATTATTTAGAAATAGTAACAATAAATGACTACAAACTAAATCATTATATGTTGCGACGAGCAAAATTTATGTTGACCGGATTAATTAATGGTACAGATTTAAATCACGAACAACGCTCGGAATATACAGATGAAAAAATTAAATAAATGAATGAATAAATAACGGCGCGATCGCGTTTGTTTAGCAAAAATTTAATTACCGCGCTTTGCAAATTAAAAATTGTTATGAGATTGCAAATGAACGGTAACAACGTCAAGACTATAAATAATTTTCATATATTTTATTCATTTATTGTCTGTGTGCGGTGGATGCACAAAATGAGATCGTGAATGCAGGATACAGGATGATGCGTTCCGCTGAATAACGTGATTTATGTTTTCGCATTAGCGTTATGTAGTTTTGGAATTATTGTACCATAAACTTTGATCCTGTTTGCGTCGAGTATTTCACTTTAATGCGCATAATATTTCGTGTGCATTTCTAGTATACTCGAATTTTAGATGTACTCTGATGCTAAAACGTTTTTTTTTTGTTTGTTTCTTAATTAATTACGCATTCTACTTTGCTGAGAAGTCGCGTCTTTAGCCTCTTGACTTGTCTCGGGAAGAATTTTGAGGACAATGCCCCAGGGATTGCCTTTATTGTAGACCCTTTAATTTTAACTTTAGTCGTTTCCCTTCCGTGGCATAATCACTGTGTTTAGCAATTTCATCATAATTAGTTCAGTCTGAAATTAAACATTACTTTAATTAATCTATTAAGATTCATGAAGTATATTCATATAATGTAATAATTATGTATATTATAGTAATAATACAAAAAATAAATAAAGATAACTATACATTATTGACCATAGATTATTTATTAAATGCAATTTCTTTCAAAATTGTGTAAAACTAAAAACATGATGCGTTCAATGAAATGACTTCGTTAGTCGAAACTTCATTTTCAGAGTTACGAATACTATGGCCTTCTTAAACTAAATAAATTGTGTACTGAAGAACCATCATCTATTCCATTCAAAAAAAATTTAACACCCTCTTCATCAATATTTTCGAAATATATTGATTGAAGTATGTGTATACCTTCATTTCTAATTTCTTGGATAATTTTTACTTCTTGTAGGAAAACTTCTGGTCATATTTTATCGGATGATTGTTGGGCATTGGCCTTAATTTGGCCTCATTTGTTA